GTCCTCATTAAAGTGAGGAGAGTATTTCTGTCTGATTTCGGGCGCATCCCGGCTCCAGGCCAGTGCAGTGTCCAAAACAGTAGGGGGCTAGCTTGCCGTCTTGGTCGGTACAGCTGGATAGCCCAGGGACTGCCCTAACAGTGGGTGGGTGGATCAGGCCTGGGAGAAAAAACTAGTGGGGTAGCGAGGGGGCTATTTTGACAAAACCCCTTAAAAACCCCTTTGGCCTAGCCAGCTGAATCAGGCCTCTGCTGAGAATGATTATCATGATAATTGCAGAGTTTAATGGGAGGCGCAGACAGTCACCCATTGTCCTGGGTGGGGAGGGTGAAAGTCCTACCAAGGACACACTTAACATAAGACCTGTAGACACTCACTGAAGCCATGTTTACATAAATTCAGTCAGATTTATATCACGTCCTTCTTTGTTACTTTATTTTGCAGAGTACTCCAGCTATATAAACCAAAAAAAGAACGAGATAAATAAGAAACAGGAAGGAGCCAGGAAATTACTCGTTGAATTCGCAAGAGAAATTGAAGCCAGTTGCCAAGGTAAGAAGAGGAGAATCCTGAGAAAACCAGAACAGCGCGCTAGCACGTCGACTTCTTCATGTACTGGACTGTTGTTGTACCGGACATTCGCTGCTACCTGGGGTCTCCAAGGATTGGAAAAGGACTAAAATAAGTCAAAAAGCTAAAGACCTCTGAGCTAAGTCGACTTCCTTAAAAAGAGAAAAATACTTTCTGAACACAATGGGGTCGGGGTTATGGGGAGCATGAACTAGAAAACTACAAAAAAAGCTTTGATATGATTTGATTACCATAATTTAAAATTCTGTAGGGTTATATAGACATCCGATTTGTTTCATTCGCGGATGAGCCAGTTTTGGATGCGGCTACTAATGCTAGCCAGTTCAGAAGAACAAAATTCCAAAGAAGCCATTTGCATGATTAGCCTTATCCTCTACCCTAACCGTGCTCCGCGGTACCAGGTAATTGTACTTGACAGGCCACATTTATATGAAGCCAAGCGTTGTCCGGGAAGGAATACATTGACTCGCATTAGCATAAAAAAGGCCAATTTATAACATTAACATTTAATTTCTTCTTCGCAACAAAGAATTAACATGCAACTTTGATGTATCAATGTGCGGTTTCAAGCAAGCCAAAGATGACAAGTTTGAGTGGACCCGATACAGGCGAAACACAAGTTCTTCCGTTAAAGGACCTTCCTCTGATCACACCACTGGAAACATGACAGGTGAACTCTAAACTAATAACAACAAGCCAGACCTGCTATTAGCAAAAACAGTTAAAATGTATTAACTCACTAACTGTAATTTGCATAAAGCCTAGGCCCCAAAGGTCGTTTTTATTTTTCTTGAGACGAGCCAAACTTAGTGAGTTAAGTTCATGAAAAGTTCGACTTCGGGCTCAGTTGATTTCGTCTGAATGAGTTTAGATCGTCCAACACGTTCTGTGCGACTGCTTCAGACGGATAGAACGTCTGAAGATCGTCTACGGGACAAACTAGCGTCGATCTTCACAGAGGAAATTTCAATCAACTTTATTCGTAACTTTAGAGAAAACAAAGCAATCCTTCATAATTTGCAATTACATGTTTTAAAACAAAAATAGACAGCTAAACCGCAGAAGTGAAGTGAAAAGACACCAAAAAAAAAAAAAGAAACAAACAAAAAAAAAAAAATAACAAAAAAAAAAAAAAAAAATAAAAAAAAACAAAAAGAAAATATTAAAAATAATAAGCAGCCAAAAAATAATTACTAAAAAAGAAAGTACTTTTAAAAGGATTGAGGATTAAAAAAAAAAAAACGAAACAAACAAAAAACAAAAAATAACAACAACAAAAACAAAAACTAGAGCAAAACAAAAAGGAAATTTTACATATTGTGAGCGCCCCAAAAATTATTTCTAAAGAAGGAAGTACTTCTGAATGGACTGAGGTTTAGATATTAGTGGTATTAAGTAGCATTTTCATTTGGAATGAAGGGGAACGCAGTCACATCAAGCTAAGAGTCTATTTTAAGGTGTTTCGATATAACAGTTTTTCGGAGACCATACCGATGTTTTTCAGTCCCCTTAAAATAATATACCAAAATTTCTTAGCATCGTAAAATGATGTTAAGCAGCCTTCTGACGCTACTTAAGATTTATTTGAGTTGTTTAGAACTTTTTTTATTAAAAAATGTATCACTGCTATTGAAAATGTAAGGTTTGAAATATATTTACGTTTTATTTGAATTCAAAAATACAGAATAATTTTTTACTTGTCACGGAATTTATTTGCTAAACACCACGCTTTAAGTTTCTGGTGTCGGATTTTCTGTAGCAGGTTTATATCGCACAAAATTCGGATTTTATCGATTTTGAAGTTTTTTGTTTATTGTTGTCATAGTGACATCGATTTTGCTAAAAGCTGCATTTTGACAAACTTCAATTCATAGTCAATCACTGGTGAAAATTTTATAGCGATCAGACAAGGTAAAAACCACTTTTAAGGCGTTTGAAAAATATCGATATGACCTCTGAAAAACTGTATCGAAACACCTTAAGCTGAATAGTTAACTTGTATATAAATTCAGATGCCATAGCTATCTTTTGCATTGTTTCGCCTGCGTAGTAAGACGTAAGTCCTTTATCTGTTGATTGAATAAATTCAATTTGGAGAGGATTTAAATTTCTGCTTCTGGCAAAAGTTTCCTGTCATGTCGAGTGCGGTCATGATTGCATCGTTTGAAAAGTATTCCGTGCTCGCTCTCGTCGCTGGTCGACAGAAGCACGGTTCTTTTGCTCCTTTTTTGCATCAGGAGAATTTGTCTCCTCGTCCGCGGAAATTTCAATTAGATTTTCTATTCGACCGAGGGTCTTAATGGGGTGGTGCCTTTTACGGTTATCGGCTAAAGTTTTGGGTCTTTTACGGCTATCGGTTAATTTTTTTCAGTTACGGTTAACGAAAACGTTAAAAATTAGCTTCCTTTGTTTCAAAGAGTTAAATATTAATAAGCCTATATTTTTTGCATCTTTAAAGCAAAATAGAGGTATTAGGATTATCTCGGGATGAGATAAGTTATTCTTTTGATAAATTGTAGTATTTGATAGATCATACTTTTAAAGAACAGTCGAACCTCCATGTGCGTCGCCCTCTGGTAAGCGATCACCCTCTTATAAGCGACCGCCAATCCAAAACACCAAAATTTCTTAGTCAAAGCCTTACAGTTGGACCCTTTAGTAAACGACCATCTCCTGTAAGAGACCGCGACCACTTTTTGGGCCTGGAAGTTTAAAATGACTTTCCATTATTTTTAACCTCTTGTCAGCGACCACTTGAGGCATACTCTGATCTCTATGTGTTAGCTCTGTGCACTTTGCTACTTAGAATACACGAAGAACTTTAGCAACAACATGGAACTACACATGGCGTAACTTAGAAATTGCATACAATAAATTATCTTCCATAAAGTATATGTGCCCGGACCTCTTCTCGAAAGAGGCCCCCTGTGGCTCGATTCTTGTGAGCGACCACCTCCCGTAAACGACCGCCAAGTCTTTGCATTTTGGGTGGTTGCTCACGGGAGGTTCGACTGTATTCCACTTCTAATATATAGATTTATCCAGGCTAAAAGCGAGGCTCCCATTAATAAAAGCTATAATTTAAATCAAACAATAAACTTGTATTCCACAATTCAGTTAACTTTAGAGAACATAGCACGTTCATGTGACTTTTGAAGGAAAGACTAAGTGATTTTAGAGAAAAAATAATTTGCAAACAGCCCAAGAGTGAACCAAATCTTACATCGAGTTGATAGCCTCATATGTGCACCCAAAAAATAGCAATCATCTTCGATCACATTTAAGAGCTATGATGGCTCTTGATCACCGTAGATTAATTAGGCCTGGAAAAAAAAAAATCAGGCCGAATTTTTTGCTTTCGGCAAGTTGACTTTACAAAATCTTGCCAACGAATCTGGGTGGGTGTAAACCAGCCTTTTATACCATTTATACATCACATCTGAGGTAAAACAGTACTATGAGATACTGTTCTTATCATACAGACCTTGGACAGAATGCAGTATTTCACAATTTTGCAATACTAATAATATACACGAAAAAATTACTCAATTCTGATTGGCTGAGAAAGGAGTGCAGTTCTTCTGTAAGACGAGTGCAAATTACAAATGGTTTCTGATTGGCTGAAAACACAAAAGAAACCACCAAGAACCAATCAGATTAGAGCTGCTTTAACAACAAAATTCAAGAAAATGGCCATGGTTTTCAGCAGACGACGACAGGATTTAATTTTGTACGCAAAATAACAACAGAGAAGTTAAAAAATATTCCAAAAACCCGAATACAGTAAAAAGTACGTCTTTCTGGCTAAATGTACTGAAAATGCGGTGCTAAGAGGAAAATACTGTCAACAAAATCGGGGAAAGTAAGCCAGAGAAACTAAAAAACAAGATACTTATAACAGACTACGCTAAAGCAAAAAAATAAAGAACAAAAACGGTTGCAACCACACGCAAACCATGACAGCTACACTTTTAAGGCATTTAAATGAACAAGGATACAAGTTTTCCATGATAAAAACAGGGATTTCAAGTCACGTACGTTATTTGTTTGAGGAGAAAAGTGTCCGGTTGCTCTCTTTGAGTCTTTTGTGGAGCGAAGACCTCTATTAAAACATCCATGCGATGGTCTGTTTTTTTTCTACCTCAGTACCAAACGAAACCGAAAATTTAAACATCTGGTCCAAACTAAACCAATGGGCGAAAATACCATAACTAACATAATGAAAGTATCCGTAGCTGTTACTAGCCTTAAAGAAAGTGAGAAAAGAGTTTACGAATCATTGTGCAAGAAAAACAACACTCAGGAAGCTGAAGAAAGCAAAGATTGTAAGTTCAGCACATATTACCAATGTCACAGACCACAGAGGTATAAACTTCCTTAACGACTACGACAAAACCGACGAAGAAGAGCTACGATGACTCTTGCAGTAGGCCAAATGAAATAATGAAAACCCCAGCGTTGAGAAAAAGCAAATATTATATTAATACTGGCAGTTTCCGACATAACAACAACTGCGGCTCCACTCACCCATCGATGACAGCGTGGGAAGAAAACAAATTGCCTCCTTCATTTTCGGGTTTGAAATCTCAAAAAATTCTCCATGAATTCAGCTGTGATGGGGTCTCAGGAACAGACAATGATGAACAGTCGTTAAAAAAAACCTTAGCAAGTGTCTTTCATCTCTGCAGGCTGCTCGAAGCGTTCTCCTGATTTCAAAACGACAGTATACTTCTTGTAAACGCTTCTTGTAAACGCGGAGCTCTCATAATGGAGGATGAATTTGAAAACACTTACTTTAATTTGCTAATTATTGTAAACCGAGTTATCTCTAACAGGCTGGTGACCATATAAAATCAATCCTTGCTCATTTCCAAGTTCTTAGCTGAATGATTTTGAAAGTGTTGGGCTTGAAAAAGTTTGAATTTGACAAAGGTAGTAGTCTGTTTCTACGGAAGCTTATAGGTGCCATTCGACATCCAACATCCGAGATGCGACATCGGACATCCAAGATTCGACATCCGACGTTCCACATCCGAGATTCGACATCCGACATCCGACATCCGAGATTCGACATTCGACATCCGACATCCGACATCCGAGATCTGACATCTTACATCCGACATCCGAGATTCGACATCCGACATCCGACATTTGAAAGGATGGCCGTGAAGTGTAGTGCCTGGGATCAAGGGACCTACGAAGTGAGGTTTGAAAGGAAACAATTCTGGTTTTGCTTAATATTTTCATCAGTTTGCATTGTTGCGAATGCGTATTACCCCGGTATGCTCCTTCATTAGGAAACGTGCAGCGAAGTCGTATCCTTTTCAGGTCTGTACGATGAATTTAAACCATTTGCTCTTGCACATTTAATTTTGTGCTTGTAAGTAATATGATAATTTCAAGACATAGCAGGCTTTAATCCGTTAAATTTGGAATATTTTAGGGCTTGTTTACATGGAGGTGGGGGACCTCAGGTAGGTGAGGTAACCCGCTTAGGCGGGGTAAAAAAATAACTCCCCTTTACATGCAATCTTACAACCCCGCCATCTCGGGGTGCACTTTCTCGAGACTATTGAATGGTCGCTAAGCACGTGAACAAGAAAAATGCTGGCAAACCACGTGTTTTGGCGATTAATGCTCTTCTACACTCACTTGCTGCTGTTGCTGCAACCTTCAGTGCTGTGGCTTTCTATTGTTACCTTTAATAATGATGCAAAGCCACCGCCAAAGTGGATTTTGCGCGAATTTGATGTATTCCGAATCCGACCACGGCTAGGCGGGTTACCCCCACCTTGAAACGTTTACATGGCAAAATTTGACCTCGGCTGAGAGGGTTACCCGGTCTGGCAGACCGGCCAACCCACCTTGGCGGGGAACCCCACCTAACATGTAAACGTGATCAATTTAAAATGAGAGATTGTGTGGACAGGTAGGTTACCTCACCTACTTGGGGTCCCCCACCTCCATGTAAACAGGCCCCGAAAACATTCCAAACTTAACGGATTAAAGCCTGCTATGTCTTGAAATTATCATATTACTTACAAGCACAAAATTAATTGTGCAAGAGCAACTGGTTTAAATTCATCGTACAGACCTGAAAAGGATACGACTTCGCTGCACGTTTCCTAATGAAGGAGCATACCGGGGTAATACGCATTCGCAAACAATACAAAATGATAAAAATATTAAACAAAACCAGAATAGTCCTCATTATTTCCTTTCAAACCTCACTTCGTAGGTCCCTTGATCCCAGGCACTACACATCACGGCCATCCTTTCAAATGTCGGATGTCGAATCTCGGCTGTCGGATCGATGTCGGATGTCGAATCTCGGGTGTCGGATGTCAGATGTCGGATGTCCAATGTCGGATGTCTGATGTTGGATGTCGGATGGCACCTATAAGCTTCCGTACTACGTGTTTCAGCCAATCAGTTGAATGAACTAAAAACGCACGCGCTGTTAAGATATATGGTATCCGTGTATATTATTAAGCAAAGTACCCAGCTTTTTGAGAAAAATCCACTTTTCAGCATAAAACAACCAAATCTGTCTATTTCATATAAAATCAGGTGAAAAAGTTGGTAAAAGGCGATTTTTAGGTTTTTTGATTACTGGCTCCTGCACTTTTTTTGGTCTCTGAAAAATTTACTCTTGCTTAATTATTTATTCCAAATTGCACTCGAAATCATGTGATTACCTATATAGAGGGGAGAGGAACGGTTTAGGGAGGAGGGATAAACGGCCAAAAAAGATAGGGAGGAGGGAGAAAGGAAGCAAAAAAAATAGGGAGACGGGAGAACCAGCTTAAAAAGGGAGGACGGAGAATGTTCTTTTAAAAAAAAATGTGACATGAATGTTTAAGGCCTTAGTAGCTCTTAATTCAAGGACCTTACTGACTCACAGATGACGGCAGCTTTGGCCACGAGCTGCAAGTTAAAGTGTATGTAAGATTTCTCGCATGTAGTCTCAACAATTTCTTGCCCTCCCCTTGTGAGTCTTGTGAGGTCATCATTTGTACATCGTACCCAGTCTTGGCCGAGCGGTGATGACAGCACTGATCTGTCTGAATTCCGGGCTTTTGTTACTTCTTTTGTTTAGCGTCGGTTTTCGCGAATCTGAAGTTTTCGGAGTTTTTTGAGTATCAAGGTGAATGAATGTTATTTTCATGTGAAAGCCGTTTTTCGGTGTTACTGAAGATTGTTTTGAAATTGAATCTCGAAAGTCTCCTTCCTTGTTTATTATTATTATTATTATTATTGTTATTATTATTATTATTATTATTATCATTATTAGTTGTAGTATAAGGCTAAACTAACGCTGCATGGTTTATGACCTAACGCTGAAACACCAGAAGAATTAACACCCAGCAATGTGAAATAACGTCCACAAGTTCGGGGAATTACACCCGATGCATAGATTTATTTATAGTAGTAAGTAGTAGCAAGTAGTTGTGAGTAACCATTCTGACCGTTATACGGTAGTTAAAATAAATGTTGTAAACATCAAAGCTTCAAGCTTACGTGACAAAACCGAAAGGTAGTATGGGAAGAACGAGATATAACGACATGACAAACGTGTTTCGTACGTGGAAACGAGGCACTGCGGTGAAGTAGCAAATAAAATAAGCCTCTTAAAAGACTTATCAGGGAGAAACGGCCGAAAAAAATTAGGGAGGAGGGAGAAAAATAGGGAAAAAATAGGGAGAATAGAAACTTAACTGCCCGTTCCTCTCCCCTCTATACAAATTGCACTCATTCATGCAATATTCAGGACGATCGAAGCGCGCGTGGGCTAAACCGTTAAAAAAATGTCCAAAATCACCTATACGGCCAGCCGGTTCTCACTTTTGCTGTGAGAGCTGTAGCGAGTGTTTGAACGAACATAAATAGCGTTAAGCTCCAACATAATAAAGAATTTATTATGTTTATTTTTTATTTAATGGTTTTATCGATGTGTATTAAATCTAAAAACTACTCCACGAACTACGGTTTCTTAAGACAAATTATATCGGCTGATGATGTGGTCTCTGATGCATTTCGATGACATAATAAACAAAATGAAGGGGTTACAGGAACATGCAGTGCAAACTTCTACTTGTTGATCCTGCATGTGCAATCAGGCTCAGCAGGAGAAAGGTTCTTTTCAGCGGCTTGAAATTTATAAACATGACTCCGCTCAACAATGACTAAAGAAAGGTTCAGTAACCTGATAGTTCTAAACAGCCACAAAGAGAGAACAGCCAAATTTGCCTCTACGCCACCCCCCCCCCCTTCCCCCCCCCCCCAATTCAAAAAAGGGGGTCATCGGCCCTCCCCCTTTAAAAAATGCCCCGCGGGCCCTGATTGGGTTCTAATTTATCCGAAACCAATGCAATGGAGAGCACAACAGTGGTTTGGTTCCTTTTAGAAANTGGTCTCTGATGCATTTCGATGACATAATAAACAAAATGAAGGGGTTACAGGAACATGCAGTGCAAACTTCTACTTGTTGATCCTGCATGTGCAATCAGGCTCAGCAGGAGAAAGGTTCTTTTCAGCGGCTTGAAATTTATAAACATGACTCCGCTCAACAATGACTAAAGAAAGGTTCATTAACCTTATAGTTCTAAACAGCCACAAAGAGAGAACACCCAAATTTGCCTCTCCGCCCCCCCCCCCCCCCTTCCCCGCCCCTCCAATTCAAAAAAGGTGGTCATCGGGCCTCGCACTTTAAAAAATGCTCCGCGGGCCCTGATTGGATTCTAATTTATCCGAAACAGATGCAATGGAGAGCACAGCAGTCGTTTGTTGCTTTTTAGAAAACGTGAGTTCTTCGATACATTTTCTGTAATCCGACCAAAAAAAAAAATACATATAATGTATGGAAGAAGTCAAATTTTCTGAAAAGTGAGAAAGGTCGAGCGACGACTGCTGTGCTCTTCACATTTCGAGTATAGTTTCTTTCAGTTCAAGAGTTAAAATTAGGAAAAAAATAAGTTCACTTTGAACCCCCATACAAACTTTTGATTTCCCCGCCGTCTTTTCCTGGATTACCCAGCATGCCGTTACAACCGTGAAGGGGTCTGTTAAAACCTCAAACCTTTGGCGCGATAACTTCTATAACCGTTACGGCAGTCAGACTTCAAATGTTTGGGGCGAAAATTGATGTTCATGTTCACGTGAAAGTGGAGAGTGTAGCTAAATGTCGTGGGTCGTGGGTCGTGGGTCGTGGGTGTGGGTGTGGGTGTGGGTAAATGTCGCGGGTAAAAAAAGTATAGAAAAAATGATTAAGTAAAGTAATTAAAAAAAGGAAATAAATAGAAAAAGGTTGTAAAATATTCATGAAACGAAAATCTCAACCTCCTTAATTGCCTTTTTCGTCACGACTTCTTCGTCCTCTTCCTGATATTTCCTTAGCTACGTGGGACTTGGCTCCCCTTTCACAACATCACTGTATAAAAGGCATGTTGCCGATGAAGATTTATCCATACCTGAGCTATCGCCGCGAAATAAACGAAACAGACGTAAATAATACCTGCAATTTGCAGAAAGTATGAGACAGCTCTGAATCGCTGAATGGAAATAGCTGCTCTTTATTAATCTTTATTCGATCTACAATTCCAATGATCAGCAAAGATGTTTTAACACTATGGAGTGCGATCACAGTGAGAAAGGGGAGAGAAAAAGGACAATTTGAGGTATTTCATATCTTTGGATAGAAGTCTTTCTTAAAGAAGTTTTAGGTCTCTTACCTTACGAAGGAACTACCATCATTCCTAACCTTTCAAGTTAAAGACGCGAGACTGTATGTAAAGTTTATTGCCGTACGGAAATACAATTTTCTCGATCCTTTTTTGTTTTGTTTTGCTTACAAAATCTTTGCTGTAACGATCCGACATATCATTCCTTAAACTGAAAGGACGTTTCAGTCACGAATGTTGACATCTTTGAGAAAAAGCTGTTCAGTCTCCAGTTTTTCCATAGCTTGCTTCAGGTTTACATAGTGTAAAGAGTTTCTTTCGGTGATTTTTCACCTGAATGCCTTTTTAGTGTCCGTTTGTACTAAAGGATTCGCGGGGAAGAGGAATAGGACTGGTATGCGTACGCGGAGATTTTCGTTTCATGAATTTTACAACTTTTTGCTATTTAATTTTTAATTTTTTACTTTGTTTGGAAGACTTTTTTTTTCACCCACGACATTTACCCACACCCACACCCACGACCCACGACCTCTACCCACTACCCACGACCCACGACATTTAGCTACCCTCGCAGACGAACCTTCGCCGCACACGCGCGAACTCAGTTCGCCGGTCTTAAAGTTTGTAGGTTTCGTTGGCGCGCTCTCAACCTCCCAACCTGCAGCGTGTTATTTTTAGTTCTACTGGGAAATTTTTTAGTGTGCACTTCGCTGGTTATTTTTCCTCTCTGTATCCTAACAGGATGAATCTTTTTGTAGAAGCAAAAAAGTTCATTGACTTCATTTCATGTTCCGTTGACATAAGGCTGAGCAATTCAGGCGAAATATTTAAGAACAAGTTTATTATGTTTCCAGTCTATAATTTCTTTAAACTGATCTCAGTCTTTTCTGGTTATGACATATCTAGTACAACGAGAACTAGATGATATAACAAAATTGGACAATCCTCAATTGAAAATGTTTAACGAGGAGTGCAGCTACGCTCTCAGCTCTAGATGTCTGCTCATTTCTGACAGCCCCTGTGAAAATAGGGCCATTTGGCCCTATGATTGAAAAAGCCGTAAAAACATTTAGCCACTTCCGATCGCCCCCAAATTTGGTTCACAGGAAGTAGAAAGGTTAAGCCAATACACCGTATTCACAAATGGCGGACACGCGGGAAAAAACTGGTGCCTAGTCATGAAACCGAGGCGTTGGAGGATAAACAAAAATTGCAAATGAAGACTTTCAGTGAACTTGCAGAGTGTCAAGCGCGGATTCCACCTAAAATAACTTTGTACGGACTTCTTTTTAAATACAATTACGTGGGATGTCTTCTGCCTTTAATATTTAGTAGTGATTTTCTGTTTGCAATCAAAAGTGACGCGTATATCTTCAAGGAAACAGGATGATTTTGTAGGTATCCGAAGCATCAGAAGCTCGACAAGTGGGCGATCGCCGGAGAAAAGCGGCAAAATGTTGGCCCAAACTTCACATTGAATCCGAGTACGAAAGCCAGATCACTACAATTCTGTAAAACGGATTAAAAACAGATATTGGTGGCGAGAAAAAGAGAAATAAGCGACGGATATATGGCCTACTTGTTAACGGAAGAGACCTCCGCCATTACACAAAACAGGTCAAGTCGAGAGCGGGTGAAAGATTCATTCACAAGGCTCATTTATTCATGTCAGTGTCTTTTTATACATATCTATGTATGTATGTTTGTGTGCATTTACAACTTCCTCTGGATCATATTAATTTCGTCGCTTTGGAGTGAATTGTCACTGAGGTACGTTGGCATAGCTTAGTAAAAAATCTCATGACTTCTTTGTCATTGCGAAATAATTAAAAATAATTTTATTAAAATTAGAAGCTGTACTGTGTGAATTTTATGGCTTGCTATTTGCCTGGTCTCCTTTAGGGCATTATCTCAGAGAGCTCTTGGTAAAAAAGTAGAATAAAGCTTACATTTTACTAGGTTAAACTTTTAAGGCAACGTTTGTGTCAGGAATGAACACGGCAAGCTTCTGATTCGAGTCTGGATCTGTTTAAGAAGACCATCATTTTATTTATTTATGTATTCTTCAACTTTAAAATATTATGAAACATTAAGTTAAAACTCTTGACAGCCAAAGATAAGAAATACGAAATTACTCGCTGAAATGATATGTGGCCGGCTTACCGAGTCTGCCGCGTAACATGTTGAAATTTTGAGCGTACTCCACTCGATCGCTCCTGCATTTATACTTAAAAAATAGTTCTAATTGATGTCCTTCATCGATAAAGACCAGAGAATAACGTCCTGGCAAACAAAAACCAAACATAACTTCATCGAAACCTCAGTCACCTCTTCTGTCCTGTCTTCCTTTTTTCCATCTCGACTTGAACTCACTGTGTTTCAGTTCAACGGCAGACGTCTCTTGCGTTAACAAGTAGGCCATATATCTGTCGCTTATTTCTTTTTTTTTCTTGCCACCAAGATTTGTTTATATTTCTGTTTCACCGAATTGCAGTGAGCTGGCTTTCGCACTCGGTTTCAATGTGAAGTTTGGGCCAACATTTTGCCGCTTTTCTCCGGCGATCGCCCACTTGTCGAGCTTCTGATGCTTCGGATACCTACAAAATCATCCTGTTTATATTACTTAAAGATGTACGCGTCCCTTTTGATTGCAAACAGCAAATCACTGCTAAACATTAAAAGCAGAAGACATCCCAAGTAATTGTATTTAAAAAGAAGTCCGTACAAAGTTATTTTAGGTGGAATCCGTGCTGAACACTCTGCAAGTTCACTGAAAGTCTTCATTTGCAATTTTTGTTTATCCTCCAACGCCTCGCTTTCATGACTAGGCACCAGTTTTTTCCCGCGTGTCCGCCATTTGTGAATACGGTGTATTACAGAGCCAGTTTCAGATCCCAACTGTTGATATGCTTTACGCAATGATGTCAGGTTAAATCTGAGAAAATGGAGGGCGACCTGGTAAATAAATTGTGGCAGCTTTGGTCATCAAGAAATGCTTTTAGCGACCAATTTCGACCAAATCTGTCCTTCACAGTGAATTTCAAAGCTTTTTGGATCATGGTAAATAAATGTAAAAGTCGAGGTAATATAAGAAAAGGTATATAACAATAGCGTGCTCTTCGCTATGAGTTCAATCTGCTACACATGTTCAGTAAATTCAATGAAATATTGCTTCTTAGTTTGGGTTTATACCGTCAAAGCCTTGCTTGTTTTCATAAATAAAGTGTTTGAATTCATATGTATGTGTCAGCTTGATTTATAAATGAAAACATAAGGATAACAGACATTTTCTACAATAAATTATATAAAATTCTGCATCGTTCAATCTTTTTAGCCGATTGTTGATTGTTGCTAGATAACAAGAGAGAAAAATGTTATTTTAAACCTTACGCTCAATCCAAGTATTAATATCACAAAATCTCATTTTATATTTGAATTTTGAGAAAATGTATCTTGTAAATTTTTTCAGTGAAGTATTATGGGCGTCCAGAGAGCAACTTTTTTTTTGGCAGTTTATTGTATGCCCTTTCAAATGAGCTATAGCTTTTTAAGCTTGGGTAAATAACAGTGGAGATATAATTTTTTTTAAATGTATAGTCAAATTTGCTGTTTGCTCGCCTGTCAGAAAGCTGCTATTCTCTATCCATCTTCTCTTCAAAGGTTATTACATGTACATAGAAGCATCCAGTCCACGTCAACCAGGTGATGATGCAAAATTGTACAGTCCTCCACTGAAGTTCCTTGGGATTATGTGCCTTGAATTCTATTACTATATGTCTGGTGCATCTATTGGAAGCCTGAACGTTACCATAAATGAAACAGTAGTCTTCTCTGCTAATGGTGATAAAGGAGACGTATGGAATAAGGCCAGTATAAATATATCCTCAATTGTGGGATCGCAGCTGGTAAGCATTAATGAGACAATCACTAAATAACGACCCTGAAAACGGTTTCTCTGAAAGAGGTAACTTTTAAAGGAAAAAAGCGATAGGAATATTTTTGTTCCGGAAGGGCCCTACTCTAAGGTTTACACGGCGAAGCGGATTATTTGTTCACGTTGAAAATTTATTTTAATTTGGTTTTCGCGTCTAAATTCTTCAAATCTTTATTTATGTTATGAGTCTTATCTGTATTTGACAGCAAAATAAGTAAAAAAGGTAAAAGCGTAGACTTGGTTACTTTAGTTCGTTATGACTCCCCCGCCGCCGACTTCATCTTACCGTTAGAGGGCAGTTTGGGGGGAAATGAAGCTAATTTGGGAAGGAAATAAATTAGGGTGAAGAAAGGTAACATACACCTGATAAACCCGTTAGTCAGCTAATAGGCTTAGAAACCATTAATCTCGTACCCAGATTTCTTGTTAAGGAAGCCGGAGGCGAGGGTCAAATCCGAATTGTACACATGATTGCCTGTCAGGATTGCGTGACAGGCAATGCTCGAAATCACTCTCAAAATCGCCGCTTTTTGACGTGTTTAACAACGAATTTGATAAAGCGTGCAGTTTTTTTAAAATCTGTAAAAACCCCTAAATCCAATCTTTGTTAATTTGCCAATTGTTTTAAAATTTATACCCTAGCCTTCCCTAATTTTTGTACATTTAAAACATTTGAATAATCTTCTAAAAAGTTTTCAAAAAATTATGGGACCAAGGTCTCAAAACTGAGTCATTTTACGATTGAACAAAATAGTGGCTGACATTTAAAGAAAAAGAGACTATAAATAAAAAACATATAAAATGTAACTTATGTAACTTATGTATCATAATTCTTCTTTTCAAGGTGGATATGCATTGCTATAAGAGATTTCCTTGGGGCTTTCTTCAAGAATTGCTATTTTACGTCTATTTATATAAAGTACTCCTTCTAACTGTATGGCTTAACTTTTCATTATTTGAAAAACTAATGAGTCTTGTCAAGAGCCATAATCTCTTGGTCTTGTAAAGTCAATAGAGATATAATTAAAATTCATACTTGGGTGAGAGGCTTAGGGGCATAAAACAGCGGAAATCATCTCGAGCCGCCAGCAATGAATAATACGTTTCTTTTGTTTCAATCCTCCAAGCCTCAGCACCATCGAGCCAACAGACCTCAGAGAAGATCTAAAAATATCTTAAGAGGGATTACGATGGGTATAGTGCCTATATGGGGGATTAATTCTGTTAGCCAGTTTATCCTCTCTTGTTTTAAAATATCAAGAATTGTCTTTTATAAAAGCCTTTCTTTTGGGCTTATTACCTACAATATCATGTTTTTGACAGGTAATATTTGAAGGCGTAGTTGGCAGCAGTTACACTGGTGACATAGCAATTGACGACTTCTCTTTGAAAGCAGGGTCATGTTTTTATGGTGAGTACTGAATAATTGCACATCAGTCACCTATTTTAAGCTCAGGCAGACCACCCTCTGTTCGTGTGGCAGTTGTTGTGAGCATCGATATTTTGTATACTTAATTAATACAGATTCAATTAAATCTAAATGTTTACATAAAAATTCAAGCATTGGACGGTGAAAGAAAAAAAATATAAAAAACATAACAACGAAATGACCAAGTTAACATTTCGCTTGAATTTTTATTGAAACATCTAGGTTCAAATCTGTATTTTAGACAACGTATATCTGTATTTCTCATTGCTCATCGGACAGTGAAAAAAGGTTTTTTTCTGTGGGCTGGTTAACAACTTCTTGTAAAAAATATTTACGGCAAAAGTCAAACTTAAAACTTTCGCTTTTGGGGGAAACTTTTAAGCAATTTTATTTATCTAAGGGCAACTTTTGAGCAAGGTTTTCTGATATTTTGAGTCTTTTTTAACTGAATTTGAAGCATCTTTAGTAGAGTTTGAATGGGGTTTAGTGTTTAGTGTTATTTGCTCATAATTTTTAGTGTTTGCTGTTAAATTGGTCAATTTTTTAGTGTTTGCTGTTTCCGAAGGAAATACTGTTAAATGTTTGGAGGGTTCTTCAGACATCTTCGGTAATGGTCGACCCTCTTCGATTCGTTAGTCTTCGAAAATCTTTGGCAGTCTTCGGGAATCGTAGGTGGCCTTCGGAAATCTTCTGAAATAATCCGGATTTGTCGTAAAATGACTTGTTGATATACTAAACAAAACAATATTGGCCTTTTTGGAGCCGTTTTTTGCGTCTTCTTCCTGGGAAAAATTTGCTGTTTCAAAGAATTTTTTTACCGTTAGTGTTAAAATGCCTAAAATTCATTTACTGTTTCATGTTACAAAGCCAAAACAGTGAGGTGTTTAGCGTTATGGAGGTACTCCCATTCAGACCCATTGCAACAATAGAATGTGGAAAGATTCGGCAAAAACCTGGCTATACAGTTAATGAAGTGCCGCTAACCAAGAATATACGCGGGCTCCTTTTGTCGCCCACAATAATTCATTGCTAAGGCTCCACTGGCGGCCCACAGTCTTTGGGAGTAAAACAGCAAAACAAAAACACATTAGGTAAGTCATTTTTATTTCTATTTTTGTCAAAAAAATGGAATTGTTGGTTTTCAGTGTCACGTCATTCAAAATAGATCAAAATAAAAATCAAAACTGTCCAATAGATAGAGTCCAGAATCTGGGAAATGAAAGGAGGTACATATACAAAGACCCTCGCCAAGATTCAGGTCAGAGGAATATTTCGTATACGAGATATCCGAAAAAATGTTTATTTTACCCAAACTTATAGAGATTTGTATGGAGACGCCATGCTGGTGCTCACCTGGATGATCTCCAACAAGGCGGACGGAAACCAACAGAAACATCTGTTACCGTGTTTGGCTACAAAAGGGTGCATTTATTCTTCGAGAAACTCATAAACATTAAAGTAATACTTTTTCTAATACATGAACTGTTTAGATAGCAAAATGTCCTGAAATAAGTCATTTTTTTAACCTACATGACAGCTCTCTTGGCCGTCATGTAAATGCCGCGTCACGCAAAAGCTTAGAAATTCAAGCGTACTTTATCACAAAACCAAGAACCCTTTTGAAGCGAAAATTTGTATGAAACTTAGTTTTCAGCTGCTCTAATGCATCGTGAAAGTAAAATCTCGGTAGGATCGATAGTTTTTTAGTTTGAATTTTCGTGACGTCATGTGAAAACCAACAATATATAATTAGGACTTATTTTGTTCATTTTCATACATTCTCTTATATATTCAAAGTCCAACGAACTCCCACAGAGTTTGGGCCGCCTGTGAAGCCCCCAAGGTGATTTCTTTTGTTTGTTCTCTTAAGCCGGCTCTCAGCCAAGTATGGATTTTAATATATCGAAAATGCCCCCCCCGGGGGGGGGGGGTACTCCCTTATATGGCCTATACGGGGATGTGCCGCTCGACAGGGTATGGTTTACGTCCTCTCTTTCCTAAACAGGGTATACAATGATTTGAATTTCGTGCAAGTCTGTCTTAAACAGGGGGTGCGATTTCGCACAAGTCTGTCCTAAACTGGTGTGCATGATTTGCGCGAGTCTGTTCCAATTATTAACGGGGTGTTTCATGCACGATCGATTTTCTTCTTAGTGCAAACGTTTGCAGATATCTAGTAAGTCATCACCCAAAGCACTTACTGGAATAAATATATAATGCTATTGAGGGAGTTGTCCTAAACAGGGTGCTAAAATTGAGAGTGTTGTCCTAAACAGGGCACTATGTATTTTAGGAATGTCTTGTCTTAAACAGGGTCAGGGTTTCAAACCCTCAGCGGCTCACCTGTACCCAAATATTGGTCAAGTACCCCCCTCCCTAGGGGAAATACATGGTCTATTTACTTAAGACTCATTATTCTTGCAAAACTAATGAAAAATTAACTTAACAGGGAAAAGGAGTAATTTTATAAAATTAATTTGAAAAGTCTCACTTAAAACAACAATTTAAAAGAAAGCCCCAAGGAAACCTCTTTAGGCTGTACTTCTTTAGCATGTTTAGTCTACGTGCGAACGGACGCAACCGACCTCCCAACATTGCACGTACTTTAATCATGTTAAAGACTAAGTACAGTCAGTACAGTCGACTCCCGATAACTCGAACCTTCAAGGGAAGTCGAGAAAAGTTCGAGTTATCGGAATTCGAGTAGTCAGGAGCTCGAAGCAAATAACAGAAAACAAGGTAATGAGATGACGAAGGAATCATGCTCAATTCACTTCAAGCGCAGAAAGACCTGAAAGACTTGGAGATTATCGGCAGGATTTTTTTGCAGGTCACAGGTCACAGGTCACCTCTGTGGAAGCTCAATTGGAGAACAGAGTGGTCTAGTAATTGTAAACAATCCCTGCGATCGTACCTTTCACACCAGTTCAAAAACTCATTAATAATTCATAAAGGCAAAAAAAAAGACAACAAGAAATTAATGTTTTTATATCTGATAAAGACAGCTAAACTTTACATCTATTTTTTAGACCAAAATAGCACCAAATTTAAATGTTAGTGAAAGAGTAAGTCGATCTATATCAGAGATTTTTCAATCTTAGAATGCGTTTTTCTAATGCCGCAAAGCAAAATACTGTCAAACTGTCTTTTATAATATCTTTGCTGGTCAGAAAAAAATTCGTAATAGAGAACATTTAAGTGCCATTTCACTCATCATAGAATAGATAAACGTAAAGTACACTTCAATTTAGCTAAAACTGCAAACATATGTGTACATTCTGTTTAATTCTGTACGATGAGAAAATGTAGATCGATTCAACTTACTGATAGCTAACGATAAGAAAACGAGCAAGTGTTTTACACGCGTTTTTCCTCTATGTAAAAATCAACCTCGTCCCCAGGGCGCTTTTCCCTGGCTTTGGAGGTAGACTACGAGTAGTCCCCCATTTTTCCTTAGGGATAGTAGAGTGAGCGAAACGCGAGCGCGCGTGAAAATCACCGCGTGTCGTCTTTTCTCGCGTGGGGTGATTTTCACGCGCGCTCGCGTTTCGTTCGCACTACTATCCCTGAGGAAAAATGGGGGACTACTCGTAGTCTACTTTGGAGGTGGTCCGCCCCACCTCCAAAGCCAGGGAAAAGCATCCTGGGGACGGGGTTGTGTAAAAATCTTTCAAGTGTCTCTTTTTTTCAAGTGAGGTTAGGGGAGTGGGGCGAACACTAGTACTCCCTTTTCCGTTTTTTTGGGAGCAAAATGAACTGTAAATGTTAGGTTCCTATGTTAGGTTTCCTGTGCACTAGCAGGGTTCTATCTAGGGTATTTGAGGGGTAGAAGCTTCCCCCCCAAAATGCCCAGCTTCCCCCCAAAAAGTATTGTTATCATTACAGTATATAAGTAACTATATCGAAAAAATCATCAAGACGCGACGAGGTTAGTGCACACACGGTAACATTTCTCAAAATTGTCTCAAAATGCACCAGATTGCATCTCAGTGCATATTTATTTCAAAAAATTTCCGGGGGGGGGCGGACCCCTCGAGGAGGCTTGTCGCCTTCGGCCACTCAGGACTTCTCCCCCAAATGATAAATCCTAGATAGAACCCTGACTAGGCTTCAGTCCGTGCGAGGTTTTGACATTCGAGATTAGGTCAAACCTCGACACACATGTTCTTTTCATCGCTTCGTTTTTTTCGTCTTTTTTCGGATGAGGATTGTTTAACTGGACTCACGTATCAAAGGTGTCGATCATTACGGAGTCATTACGGATATTACAGTAAAAGGTTACGGACACGGACACTTGCTTGTTTGTAAGGATTTCTTTATGCGGTATTGTATTCGAACAGTGACTGTGTTGAGCGTAGTTGATCGGATCGAATAAAATGTGGAATTGGCACCGAATTGACGGCTGCTACATAAAGGACGCAGCCTTTGTGTCCACATCCCGTCTTTTATTTCTGAGTGTAAATAAATACCAATACAGAAGGAACTTGGAAAATATTCTGCAAGATATTCTTAGGCCCAGTTCAGACGTCGTGCTTCTGCCGTGCTGAACTTAATTGTAATTTGGTTCGACTGTAGCAAGGCAGGAAAACAACTTTGATTCAGACGTCGTGCCAGAGTTGAACCAAATTCAGGATTCACTGATGCCTCGTAACAATTCTTCTCCCAACTCCCCGTGGGAACGCAATCTCGCCAAAATACATTAATATAATTTATGAATTTTGTTTAGCGCGGCAGAAGCACGATGTTTGAATCGCTGCCGTGCCAGAGCCGTGTACCATGGCAGCGCTTGTCGAACTTAATTGCTTGCCGAACTTAATTCAAAAGTTTGATTCAGACGCCGTGCTTCTGCCGTGCTTTTGTCGAACTTAATTCCTGAATTTAGGGCCTGTTTACATGGAGGTGGGGGACCCCAGGTAGATGAGGTAACCCGCCCGTCCATATAATCTCTCATTTTCAGTACTTGGATCACGTTTACATGATAGGTGGGGTGACTCGCCTAGGCGGGTAGCCCGGTCTGCCAGACCGGGTAACCCTCTCGGCCGGGGTCAAATTTTGCCATGTAAACGTTTCAAGGTGGGGTAACCCGCCTAGCCGGGGTCGGATTCGGAAGACATCAAATTCGAGCAAAATTCATTTTGGCGGTGGTTTTGCATTATTATTAAAGGTAGCAATAGAAAGCCACAGCACTGAAGATTGCAGCAAGAGCAGCACGTGAGTGTAGAAGAGAATTAATCACCAAAACACGAAGTTTCCCAACATTTTTCTTGTTTACGTGCTTGGCGACCATTCAATAATCTTGAAAATGTGCACTCCGGGGTGGCGGGATTGTAAGATTACATGTAAAGGGGGGTTATTTTTTTTACCCCACCTAAGCTGGTTACCTCACCTACCTGGGGTCTCCCACCCCCATGTAAAGAGGCCCTTAGTTCGGCACGGCAGAAGCACGACGTCTAAACTGGGCCTTAGAAATGCAACTGCTAACTGTATTTTTACAAAAATATACTTCTAAATTTAAATTTCGTCTCCCAACTTTATCTATGACCTGTAACCTGTGACCTCCAAAAGAAACCTGCCGGGAGATTACTGATATTTTGAAAATTCTAAGGGAAAAAATGAACAACAAAGCAGACAAAGCTTGATTAATAAACAGGGCTGGAGAAATGATCTAAAGGGAAACAAAAATTGCTTCGAGTATTATTTGATAATAAGCGGGGGGTTCGAGTTCACTGAAGGTAAAATAACAGTAAATCTATGAAGGAAATAAAGGGGAGATGTCATGAGGTCGAGTTAGCGAGAATTCATGATATCGGGAACCACTGTACTTTGTATTTATTTTTTTTTATCTATACTTGTATCCAGATTGTTTCATTTATCACTTCAAAAAATATCAAGATTTAACCCCAGAAGGTTTTGTAGTGAAATATTTCACCATCAAAGGAGGTCTGTTCCTCGTGTTCGGTGACGCTCATATCCGAACCAGTGCTTTCATCTACAAGTTCAACGACTCGTCAAGAAAATTCTTCCTTTACCAGACCTTGGATTCATACTTTACGTTCCAGGTGGAATATTTCACAATTTCTGACGAACACTACCTTGCTGTTGCTGAATTTGCGCTTAACGCATCAGTTATTTATCGTTGGAATGGACATTTTTTTACTCCATTCGAAAACATTGCAGCATATGTACGGGACTTCAGTTTTTTTACAGTAGACAAAGAACCATATCTTGCCGCATCCAGCCGTAACAGTTCAATCTATCAATGTATCATCTATAGGTGGAAAAACATCACCTTTGAAAAGTTTCAGGTAATAGGAGGTTCCTGTTCTGTAAATTCGTTTATAATTGACAATGAAACCTACTTTGCCCAGGCTGGTGGCTCAATCAGACAAGGAAAATCAGTCGTCGTTTATAAGTGGTCAGGAGAAAGCTTCTCTAAACTGCAAACTCTCCCGCCAGCATCAGAGGCAAAATTCTTTAACATTAATGAACAAGTGTTTCTCGCCCTGGCAGGGTCTCAACGTGAAAATACGAACTCGTATATTTACAAGTGGGAAGGCGGGCAGTTTATTTTGTTTCAGTCCATTAGTACTCTTGGTTCCTGGGTTCCTTGCGTGCATTCATTTGTCATGTTAGGTCAAATGGTTTTGGGTTTCACTGAACCGCAGGGCAAAAAGTCCACGTTGTATCGGTTCTCTCTGGACAGGTTCACTAAATATGAAGAGATTTCGACCTTTGTACCCACTTATATGACGACATTTGAATACAAGGGTTATACTTACCTGGCTATTGCTAATTTTGCTAATACCGGAGGCATGACCCGAAGGAGTACTAAAAGCACGCTGTATAAGTGGACTATGGGAATGTAATTATCCTCTTACGACGCATGTCGCCATATATATGTTAGATTGCTGTACATACGCGGAACTTTAACCCAGTGAAAAGTGAAGTCGCTTTAAAGTAAAGAGAAAAGTCAAATAAAATAGTCAGTAGAATGTTGTTGCAGATTTAAGTTTTCTTCTGTTAACATTTGGATTTAAGAACATTAATTATACATGTAGTTTGACTCTAAACTAAAGAAATGAAATAACTGTGCACATGAACTGGCTTTCGACTTGGTTCGGCGCTGAGATACAAATATCAGTGATATCAGGTACAGTCGTAGCAAAAATGGCTGGTGTTCAATGCTTTTGCTTAAGGCTGAACAAGAACTAGCAGTCTCTCCAGCTCACGCATCATATGCAAAAAACTCCAAATTACTCCGCTCTTTATAGGCCCCGTCCACACGTATCCGGATACTTTTGCATCCGCAAAGTTTTCTTTCCGAGACGGCCAGTCCGTCCACACACATCCGGTGTATCCGCATTGTTTTGAATCCGCTCTCCAGGGTGGAGAGTTTTGAATCCGCTATATGTATCTGGATACGCGTGGACAGTAAATCCGGATATCTTTTTATCCAGTGATGTAACAAAATCGATCCCAGTTCTTTACCCACAGTGAATACTGTATTCACATGGCAACCTCTACTGATGCTGTGTTACCAATACTCCCAGAGGAGTCTAGCCTCCACAGTGTTCCAGGCTCCGAGATAGTCGGGTCCGCTGAATTGAGAAAGCTCGAACACGTTTCAAACAATCGGATTAAGGCTGTGATTGACATGTTTTGAAGACTGACCAATCAGGATTTTAACGTTTGCCTAGTAAAAAAAGCGAAAAACTATAATCTCCTGGCAGACGTTTCTCTCCTTCCCTCCTGGCGCGTCCCTCGCTTTTCTCACGCGAACAAAACCCCTTTAATTTCCTTTCCCTTTCAAATGCATGCTACGCAGGCTTCATCCAGCCAGGCTAAGTGGCTTAATTCTTTCGCCCCATACGCGGAACATCATCATTGCGCAGATTCTTTCTAGATAACCAACAACAACCAACCACTTTATTTGCCAACTTAAAAAAACGTTTACAAAGAGCAGAATAAATTAAAATATATTAGGCAAAAAAACTACTCAGAAAAGCAAAACACTAAACGAGCTGAGCTCCCCTCGTCTTCCAAACAAAGGCAAAGAAGGACACCTGATCGCAGCTTACTTTCCAGCCGCTGACTTCCTGTGCTCAGTTATGTCTTCCTGAAGGATGAAGGCCCATTGATTCACTGTCGATTGTAACATTCTTTATAAAATAACTAGGATAGTACGCGCGCTCTGATTGGCTGAGAGGAGTGTTTGCAGGAGGGTATGTAAACATGGTTGTGGCGTCAAGTTGTTTGGCTTTTCGCGCGCTAATCACGCAAGCACGAATTTAAAAAAGTTTTCGAGTTCAAAACTCGACAAGTTTACTTTATTTACCCATTCCTTCGTCGGCTGAAACATGGGAAATCGTTACAAAGAAGGTGAGTCAATTTTTCTTTGCTTAAGCTGACATTTTAAGCGACAAAAATCCGTATTTTGCAAAGCATCTTTTTGCAAAAGAAGAACTGACTACGTTTGCAAGACTTCGTGGACAAGATTTTGCGACTGGTAAGAATTTCTCTGTTAATCAGTGCCATACAAAGAGTTTTGCGTTTTTTTCTTGGGAAAGGTATTTTATAAAAGCAATAGAAAACTTTTTTCCTGTGTTTGCATAGCCTGATATAAACACTCGAGGCGTTGGGAGAATTCTCGACGGTTATGCAAACCCGAGACGAATAGCTGTCTCAAATTCTTCCAACCCCTCTCGTGTGCAAACACAGAAAACGTTTTCTATTGCTTAAATAATTTTATACAGAATGAGAGGCTACAATAATTCAGTCGTGATTAATCTGATTGTGCTCTGTGTTTCAAGAACCAGGAAAATGGCGAATAAAAGGTTATAATTAGAAACATACTGATGTCAGGAGGCAGCTCGCCAAAAAACGATTTTCGCTAAACATTTTGAGTAGAAGCAGGCAACATAGCTTAAAATCTTCGTCTTGCTATCCTGATTAAGAATTGTGCTGTTGCCCACTCCAAATGTTATGATATCTGTCATTAAGCGGGTTTTTTGTCTAGGCCCTCGCTCCTGCAGCATGAAAACGAGGCTAAACTGTAACTTTTATATAAACCCAATAAAAAGTGCACAATACGATGGGGGAAATAGCTGAATCTTTGCTACTTGACGTTTAGAGCTCGATAGACAGTAGTGTGGGAGATAAAATGTATCACGTGATCAATCACGTGATCAGTTATGAAGAGTCTTGTGACTTTCCAATAAAATCGATTTTAAAGCATAAAAGACTCTCTATTCACACTTTCCTTTAATATAGTTTTCAACTTACTAACATTTCTCATTTCGATTTACACAGCCAAAATAAAAACAAAAAAAATGCAATAGGTGGTCAGCTATGATGGGTTACGTGATGTAATGAAATCATTCAATTTTCAGTCATTCTATAGCGTTTCCAACCTATGTAACATTTCCCATGAGCTAGGATTTTTCATGTAAAAAGACCGAACTTTCTTCTACTTGGCTGCACGGTTTAAGCCAGAAATACAAGCTTATAAACCATAAGCAAAGTATCTTATGCGACACAAGACCACCATGTGACTTCCACCTTATCAAGGTTATAGGTCATGCTTCATTCGCCTCAGCTGCAGTGTTCCTGTCGTTTCTGCACCTGTCGCCACATTTACATGCCTTGGAGCAGCAAAGAGATAGTTGAACGCAAGTGCAGCGTCGGTTTACACAGCATGGCGGAAGAGCCCTCGTGGGTGTCATACGATTGACGTTTGTGCGGCGATTGTGAAGAAGAGCACAGATTAACTTTGGCTTCAGAAGGCCTTCACTGTAGTACCATCCGCTGTCTTCAGGCTTTGGGAGAGACGGACATGGTTCCAGCGCTTTATTCCATACCATGGTCTGATAGTTTGCCCGCTTTATGTGGAGAATCACACACACCAAATGCTTTATTTGCATGACCATAAAGGAATTACACTATTGCAAAAACTATTAGTCTAAATTTAAGTAGTAATTCAACTAATTATTACGTGCAAAACATTGCAAAACGTTACAGTTCTCATTCATTCAGTCATTGACATTAATTTGGTTCTTAATTCAAAGCATTGCGAGATGAATGAAACTAATCGACAGTAAATTAAATAATCAGAAGAATTCATAAGAAGAGTTATTAAAGTATCGTGTGAAAGTGATTTGAAGTCAGGTATTTCATTTTCTAGTTGAAAGAAAAATATGTCTCTGATCTGAGAATAAGCCTTACAATCTAGTAAGAAATGATTTTCATCTTCAATTTTGTTACTTGTACAAAAGTGACATATCCTTTCATTGCGAGGGAGTTTTTCGTATCTACCTGTGTCAATTCTAAGTTGATGACTACTTATTCTAAATCTAACTAATGCTTTTCTCGAAGGGTTAGTGCATCTTGAGTCGGAGGTAGGGCGTCAAGATCTTTCTTGGATTTACGAAACGCTGCTGCTCTTTCTTTCTTGATTTCCACCTCTTGTGTTCCCGGATTGTAGAGTTTGCATACAAAGGCTTCAGCTTTGGCCAGAACGTCAGCACTGATTTGGCTTTCTTCTCTAAGGTGTTCCAAGAGGTCAGGTGCATGTTCGAAGACTTTCCATGCCGATGCCTTTCCCACAGTATATAGGCGCTATATAAATATTTTATTATTATTATTATTATTATTATTATTATTATTATTACTATTATTATTATTACCATAGAACTGGCTTGTCGTATCACAGCCAGTAATGGCATGAAATGCCAGAAGCGACTTCCTCTTCTCCTCAGAGAGCGGGATTCTGTGAACTGGTATGTAACGCCTTTGTCTTCATGTACCCGCAAACATCCATATCTCTTGACAAAGCTGCTCTCGGTGTGCCAAAAGGAGGACAAGAACGTCCGTGTCACGACACAAAATGTTGACTTGCTTGTACCCTCTTGCTGCTGCGTCTCGGGCATGCAGTACTATTCTCGTATCTACCTGTTCATGATCTGATGCGAGCTCTCTTATATCTTGTCGTGATGTGCCAGATGACCACACCTTCAGTGTATCCTTGAAGCCTCCATTGATCACCAGCTCCCGCCCAGGGGGCGCGCTGTAACTCTCCGAGATTCAGTCGAGAGGAAATGAGCTAGGCTAGCCTTGTTATCTTCTAGAATGATGAACCTTTCCCGGTTTCCAATTCTATGATCTCTGTTATCCACATTGCGCCTAATCCCTGTGCTCTTTTTCTCCTTGCGCTTGTCTCTGGTTCCTCCTTTTATCGAGTTCTTGAGGCGAATGTATGAAATCAGTCTTTTTTAAATTGAGAAAAATAATTAAAAGAATCTATTTTTATATTAATTTTCAGAATACATTGCTCAAAATCAAACTTTTTGAAGCACATATTTACCTGATGAAACATAAGTTTTTTTTATTTCTTATAGAAAATAATTCCTGAAGAGCTTACTGAAACAATTAATCAATCACGCTATTCACACAGCTAAGGCTAATTCACTATCTATTCAATGGTTGTTATCTAGTCACGTGAACCATCATAGCTGATCACCTATTGCATTTTTTGTGTTTTTATTGTTGGATGTGTAAATCAAAATGAGAAACGTCAGTAAGTTGAAAACTATATTAAAGGAAAGTGTGAATAGAGGGTCTTTTATGCTTTAAAATCGATTTTATTGGAAAGTCACGTGACTCTTCATAATTGATCACGTGACGCATTTTGTCTCCCACACTACTGTCTATCGAGCTCTAAACGTCAAGTAGCAAAGATTCAGCTATTTCCCCATCGTATTGTGCACTTTTTATTGGGTTTATATAAATGTTGTGGTTCAGCCTCGTTTTCATGCTGCAGGAGCGAGGGCCTAGACAAAAGAACCCGCTTAATGACAGATGTCATAACATT